CTATGTGTATTAAGTGCTTTTCCTTGCCCATTGCTATATTATACTCTCTGGGAAGGAGCAAGAAAGCAGGTAAAGGAGGAATAAAAGATGTAAAACTAGGTCTCCAAAAGTTCGCAGATTAGCCAGGGAGAACAGATTTATCTTGCTAAAGCAGAAAAATTGAAATAGTCAATAAGTAGATGTGATGTGGGTGTGTCCCTGTCACCAGTCTTTTTACTTCTTCTCAGGAGAAATATTACCCAGCCTCACCAAGGAGTTTGATTTGGGTACAGACATGGGACCAGGCTTCCTGAGCCCACTGGAAATACTTCTCTTCTTCCTTGTCCAGTTTGTTGCATGAGCACATTTATTATGTCTGTGGTTTCAGGGAGGGTTCTAGGAATTCCAGGACATATCAGTTCTGAAACACTTTTCTTTTCTTTTCTCATCTAGGACATTTCCTTTTCCCATCCCTGGTATTCTCACTGATGAATAAACAGGTAAATTAAATCTTCCTTTGATATTAACTCTGTGTTTGGGGTTCTTCTTAACTTTTTTTAGGCAACTTTCAACCTAGTCAGAGAAAAACATTTAGAACACTCACACACCTGTTAGTGAGAATGTAAATTAGTTCAGCCATTAAGGTTCCTCAAAAAAATTAGAAATGATGGTCAGCAATCTCATTGCGTTATACCTTTGGATATACATCCAAAGGAAATATCAGCATATCAGAGAGATGTCTTCATTCCTGTGTTCATTGCAGCATTATTCACAATAGCTAAGGGGGCTGGAGGTATGGCTAAATTGATAGAGCACTACTTAACAAGCACAAGGCCCTGAGTTCAAACCCTTGTGCCGCCAAAATTCTTTAAAAAAAATTTTTTTTTATCACAATAGCTAAGGTAGTGAAACAATGCAAGCATTGATGATGACCAGATAAATGAATGTCCTGTAAATTTACAATGGAATACTATTTGTCATTTGTAACAATTTGGATGGACCTGGAGAATATTCTGCTAAGTGCAGTAAGCCAGGCACTGAAAAGAAATGCTGCATAATCTCACTTGTCTGTAAATCTGTGAACATTGACCTTGTAGAGCAGAGGGTTGGTTACTAGGAGCTAGGGGCAGGGGTGGGTTGGGTAGAACGGGGGAAATGTTGGTCAAAAAACACAACATTTCAGTTAGACAGGAGGAATAAATTCAAGAGACTTACTGTGCAGTAAGTCTGCAGTTAATAAAATGTGTTGCATGATAAAGCAAAAGCACACTTGGGAGGTATGAGGATAGGTAAGACACCCAAAAAACTAGATAGCATTTGTTGCCTTCAATGCAGAGAAACTAATGTAGATACTTTAAAGCGACAGAGGCCAATAGGAGAAGGGAACCAGAAACTAGAGAAAAGGTTAGTTGGAGAAGAATTAATTTAGAAGGTAATACACATGCACAGGAAAGCAATGCAAGTCAACTCCCTGTATAGCTATCCTTATCTCAACTAGGAAAAACCCTTGGTCCTTCCTATTTTGCTTATACTTTCTCTTCAACAAGATTAGAGATAAGGGCAAAATAGTTTCTGCCTGGTAGCAAGGGGGTAGGGCGGGAGAGGGAGGGGAGCGGGGGATAAGGGAGGGGGGGAAGGGGAAGAAATGACCCAAACATTGTATGCACATATAAATAATAAAATAAAATGTGTTGTGGTTTTGAAAATTGCCAAGAGAGTAGATCTTAAAAGTTCTCACAACAAATATAAATGTGAGAGGTAGATATATTAATTGGCTTAATTTATCCATTTCCAACATATACATATATCAAGGCACATTATATACTATAAATACATAACTTTTATTTTTCAGCTATACTTTAATTAAGCTGTAAATTAAAAAAAAGGAATGAAAAAGGAAGACATTGGGCTGGAGGCATGACTCAAGTGGTAGAGTGCCTGCCTACTTAGTGCAAAATCTTGAGTTTAAACTGCAGTGTCGAAAAAAAAAAATCGAGACATTGAATTCCCTCTCTGGCATATTGTAAACCCTTTAGAAACTCAACTAGATCATAAAGTCACTGGAACGGTGTCTTACAGTTTTTCTGTACCTAACACAGTGCTAAGCACATTATGAAGGCTTAATATATTTTTCTTGGTTTATTATTCTACCAAAAACTAAGCTTACACTGGACTTGGTGCTCCACACCCATAATTCCAGCTACTGGGGAGGCAGAAGCAGGAGGATCCTGAGATCCTATCTCAAAAACAAAATACAAATGAAAGGACTGGGGGTGCAGCTGAAGTAGTACAGCCCTTGCCTAGCATGTGTGAGCTCTGGGTTCAATCCCCAATACTGTCAAATATAGATATATGTGTGTGTCTTATATTTATATATATATAAGCATACATATTTATATATATATTTATAACATTTATATTTACATATATACAAATATATATATGTATATATAAACATATGTATGTATATATATATAAATATGTGTATGTATATGTATAGATATAGATAGATAGATGAATAGAGAGAGAAAGAGAGAGAGAGAGAGAAACCATGATCTTCCTGATCACTTCTTGAGTGGCTGGGATTGCAGTGTGAACCTCTGTGCCAGGCCCTGTTCTAGAAAAATTTGAAGACATGAAAAATTACCTTCAACTCAAAATGACTTGAGGTCAATGGATAGATTTCCTTTTGGAGTACTAGCTACAGAAATCTGTTTTCAGGGCTATGTGGCATCACTATGCAGTTCCAGCCTCAGGCCCTTAAAGGTCATGGGTTCTGGTCCATCAAGCCCTGGAGACAGGCAAATAAGAAGACAAGGTCTCATTTCATTCATCAGGTGGCCCAATGGTAGACCAAATGGTGAGAACCATCCACAAATACTGTGAAAACACAGGAAATAAGGCTGATTTTCCTGAACTCTTTCATGTTTCTTTTCATATAAGGGTCATTTCTGCTGGGCTCCCATAACACGTGTTTTGTTTTTCCAGTACACGGTCTTAAGTAGCTGTTTACAGACCTGCGTTCTCCTATCTGTCATAATAAAAGTCCCTTAAAGGTAAGAGAAAGCATTAAAAATTCACTGAGTTCACTACTTTTTCAGATAAAAATAAACATAAGAAACTGTATTATTGGTAGTTAAACCATTAACAACTTTTGTTTAAAAGTTTAAAACAAAAAGCAAGAGAGCTGTATAGAAGAAAAATCACTCTTATCTTGAAGCCAGAGAAATACTATAATATTTGGTTATATTTTGCGATTTCTTCTGAACGCTCAGGGAAAGTCAGGGTTAGAGGAGAATGGGTGCATGTGTGGGGGTGAGGGTGGTAACTTTTTCTTGCTGTTAGTGGTTTGATCAGAATAATTTTAGTAACTGAAAGCAGGATCAGTACTTCTTTACTAAGTGAAAAAAACCACATTGGATCTTTCCCCCCACATTTTATTAGTGCATATAAATTGTGCAATCACATTGGATGTTTTTCCAGACAAAATCTCACTGTAGCCTAGGTTGTCCATCCTCCTGCCTTAGCCTCCCAACTGCTGGGAATACAGATGGTGCCACTATGTCCAACTCCCCACATTGGAGCTTAATTATAGAATTAACCACTATTAGAAGAAATAGAGAAAGTATGCAGGGAGACTGTGGCTGCTGTCAGGCTGAGAGGCAGTAGTCCTGTGCCTTCAGGATTCTAAGCTGATACCATTGGAGTTGATTTTTAGCTAAGAGTGTCTGCAGCTGATACTGTGAGACTCTTACATTTTAGTTCACTTGGGTGTACTGCAGGGTTTCTGTTTTTCATTTATCCTCAAATGACAGAAAATAGAAATCCTGATGAGAATGAAGGTGGAATTGGGGGGGAGGGTTGATAATTTTCAAGAGAAAATCACAAGTATTCAGGAAATATTTATTTAAAAGAAAGTATAGTTGCATTTGTACAATACAAATAAGGTGCTGTTCAAATTTAAGAGGTAAAAGGGAGGTTTATCTAAAGAAGTGATAAAGCTAGTCACCACTTAGCAAAAGTCTCTGAGCTAATGGATCTTTGAACAACAGCTTACTAACTATTTTGAAAACAATCTAGTCAATTCCCTTATGTAATGACCCTGTGAGGATGAGGGATCTTTTAAAAATGTTTAGGTAATAAAATGTATGATAGGTTTTTAAAAATCTGGAGCTAATTATAACGTTGCTACTGAAGAAGTCTCTCAGACGCAATAAAAGAGTCACATAACGTGTATTTAATATACATAAAGAATTCAGGCTAAAAAGCCATTTTGTAATGAAATCTCTACCCTGATTATCCATTAATTAGTTAAAATGACTTTTATCATTATCTGAGGGCTAAAGAATTTGTAACCAGTTCCACTAGAATGAACGGCATTATTAGTAAAAAAAAAAAAAAAAATCTATCCTTATCATAGACTAAGGATCTGATTCAGGCATGGAAATCAAATGTAATTACAATGCTTAGTTTAAATGTTACGTTAAAACCATCCCTTCAACTTGAATCCAGATTTAATTAGTTGATTAATTAATAAATTATAATGAGGACTTTCTGACTTGGCTAACTAACTGAAAAGTGACATGGTTTGAAAGGTCCAGATTCCATAGCAGAAAGTCGAATGTCTTCAAAGCTAGGGAGCATAGCATTGTCTTTCCTGTGCATAAGCATGAGAAAGAACTTTCATGGATAATCCACTGAATAACAGGCTCTGGAAGCTTTGTTCTCCCTCCACCTCTACTGGTTGCCTCTCTGTTTTCTCACCTTCATTCTTCACCACAATGGTGGTAGCTACATTGCTGGAGTCATTAGAGTTATTCTCTTAAGAAAAGGGAAAAAAGGTAGTGTATATCTGTGTGTGTCAGGTATGCTGGGTAGATTATGAGACAGACAGGCTTAGTCTAAAGCAAAACTACTTGTTATATTTTTGGTTGTGGCTTCTTTCTACATCTTGCCCTATCTCCTGCAATTACCTCTGTCTTCTATTCAAGTAGGCCTTTTGCATTGAGTAGTACCCATTTTTATATACCTGTTGATATGCGAGCCAGTCTTAAAGACCCCTTGGATTCATCTGTGTGCGTACTGGACATGGCAATATTTTCATATCTTTCCTGAGGTGCAAAGCACCAACAATGGTGAATGAGTATCATCAGGTCCTTCTGGAAATTTTTGTTAAGAAAGCCATAAAAGAGAGGGTTTATGCATGTAGAAACCATAGCAACCAAGTGGCAAACTACAAATACCAGATCATGGTGGCAGCCCATCAGCACCTCATGATACCAGTCAAAGATGACATTGAAGATATTCAGAGGCAGCCAGCATGCTCCAAAGGTCACCACGATGGAAATCAACATGGTGTTGATCCTCTTGTTCTCACTGAGCTGGCTCTCCTTTTGCTTCTTTCTGTCTACCTTCCTGTTTCTCTTGCGGAGGCAGATGACAATCTTCAGATAACAGATGAGGATGAAGCCCAGAGGTACAAAGTACTGGAGAATAAACAAGGAGGTGGAGAAGAGGAGCTGGTTCGTTTTGGAGGGCCAGTTCTCGACACAGGCCACCCGGTGGGTGTAGACATCAGTGGGGAGGGAAAGGTTTTGAAAGGGTTCATTGGTGAGGTGATAGGACAGAAACAAGGGAATAGACAACAGAAGGGAAATGAACCAAATGAGTGTGATGCCCCAGTAGGCATGAAATATCCTTGGTTTCCAGCCACGGGGATTCACAATAAGCTGATACCTTTCAATAGCAATTAATACAAGGGAGAATATGGATACAGAGATGGAGACACTCTGCACATAGGAAGTGAGTTTGCACATGGTATTTCCAAATATCCAGTGGTCCATCAAAGTGTAGATGACTGTAAAGGGGATGCACATGACACACACCAATATGTCAGAGAAAGAGAGGTTGGCAATCAGTATGTTGGTTACGTTTTGAGCTTCTCTCTGTTTCTTAAAGATAATGATGATGAGAGACAGGTTTCCAAAAAGGCCCAGGATCAAGACCACAGTATAGGCTACGAGTAGTAAGAGTAAGGCTGCAGAAGGGGGTTGACAGGATTCAAAATAGAAAAATGCAGAGTTGTTGCTCTTTTCACTGGTTTTATTAGATGCTGGCTGGTTTAGAGAAACTTCCATTATGTCAGGATAGTCACAAGAGGTCTTCTAAACTTGCTTGTACTATGTGTGGGTGGATATTCTGGCCATCACTTCTTGCCCAATGAGTAATGAGTGGTTTAATCTTTCCCAATCTCTATCTGTATTTGATGGAAACACATGAATGACTTGAGCATGCTCTTGAGATCCTACAAAGTAAATAGAACCCAGAATATTAATGCAAGTTCTTAACAATAAGAAAGATGTCCCTGAGAAGATGTAAACAAATATCCAGTGGTTATTTGTGTCCCCTTACTCTCTTTCATTTCACAGTATTTTTTAGCCCCATCAGTATAGTCTTTAGAGTTAGTGAGACAGGGAATGTGATAGCATCATTTTAATATGTTGCATAAAGCAGCTCATATTCACATTTCCATTCTGTGCAATTTCTGTTGTTTTAAAAGGGTCATCTGGATACATGCCAACTTACTCCAATAGACCATGAAAGTCATAAGGTAGGGATTATACTGTGGAGGCCAGAGGAGTGTTTTTGGAGTTGGGTTCTGATGTTTGAATGTTGCATCCCCAACAAAATTCATGTCCCAATGCAACAATATTAAGAGGTGGGGCCTTTAGGAGGTTATTAGGCCATATGGACCAACTCTCATGACTAGATTAGTGCCTTATAAATGGGACTGAGGGGGTAAATTCCCCCCATCTGTCCCCTGCCACATGAGGACACAGCATTTGTCTTCTCCAAAGGATACAGTGACAAAACACCATCTTGGAAGAAAAGGGCTGCCCTTATCAGATGACCTCAAACCTGCTGGCACCTTGATTTTTGTCTTTCCACCCCCTGAACTGTGAGAAATAAATTTGCATTGTCTGTATAAAAGAGTGGGCATGCCATGCCTTTTCTTGGCCTCTATTTCTTTATCTGTCAAATGAAATTTAAGAATGGACTCTATTTCATTACTTTGTTATAAGGGCCAATGAAATAATGTCTTTAAAACATTTCATAAATTGTTAAACACCATGGTATTTTGTTATAGCAATACATAGTAACTAAGACAGGTACCAACTGGAGCATCCCTACTTGGTATCCATATGACTGTAATAGCCTCTTGCCCCAAGATGGGGATAAACAATATCTACCTGTCTGAATTGTGAGAATTAAATGAAATCTTACAACTGAGTTGGTCCCTCATTCCCAACATAGAGTAGAGAACAGGCTCTCAGTACATGTATGAGGAATAAAATTGTCAGCTCCTCTGTCTAGAGCTAGTCTGTCATCTTTAATCTGGGGGCTAGAACTACACAACAAAGTTACCATAGACTAGCATATGCCTTTCTCCTCCTTTCACTTCTTCCACTCTCTGGAATGAAGTCATGCTTTCCTCAGGCAATTTTGGGGTTCATTGCTTAGATTCTGGGGGTAAAAGCAAGGAAAACTGTGCCTAGTCAACTACTACCTAGAATTATCTTTATTTGGAAACCATTCCTCCAATTCTTCCTTCTAGATCTCTTCTTTTTCTAACTTCCAGAGGAAAGGGAGGCCCTGGTCCCATAGCTGAGCATAGTTTAGGGTAGTCGTAATTCAATGAGATTATTCATATCAGGATACAAGACAGGCATGTTGAGTTTCCTGACATTCTAAGTGCTGAGATTTCTGGCTGAAGAGGGTATGTGGAAAGAGGGACAGGGGTGTGGGTGGGGAGGGGAACATCAAGCAACCAGCGCCTCATCTTGCTTTATTCTTTTCAAATCTGAAGGAAGCAAAATAAATAACATTGATAAAGGAAACTGAGCAATAGGTATGAAAAAGAATGAACTTCTATTTGCTGTTGAAATTACTTTGGCCCTCTCTCACATTCTCCCTGAGTTCAAAGGCTTAGCAGATTGTTATTGGAAAGAAATCACTTCAAGAATGCTTGTGTCTGTAACACTTTCAACATCAAACACCACAATCAAGAACACCATAAAAATACCACAGATGAATAGAACTGTTGATAAAGACAGTATTTTTTATAAAGAAGGACTCAAGGGACTTGTCTGTAGCTCAGATGGAATGTGGTGTTTATAAACAATGGTATTTGAAATCAAGGTTTAGGGCTGGGATGATTCAGGGGTTCAACAGACCTAGAATTCACAGATACTGGCTGAAGAGACATTTCAGATAGATTAAAGATTTTTATGCTATTGATAGACTAGGGCTATAAATGAGAAATAGAAAGGTTCGATTGCTAATTAGAGGTGTTCTACCAAACTTCACTTGGAGGTGGAAAGGAATGGAAGGAAAGGTGATAACTACATGAGGTATGGTTTTAACATGAGCACTGTTAACTGCTCTTGTTAACTAGCTGTTAAGTGTTGGGCAAACCACGCTTTCTCTTGGCCTCAATTTCTATACTTGTAAATGAAATTTTAAAATGGCCTCTCTATTTCACAGCCCAATAATATATTGGCTTTAAAACACTTTATAAATTGTTTTAAAAAAAACTGTGCAGGTTCAAGTACTCATTGTTGAATGTGTCAGTCATTTCCATCCTCCAGAATTGCTGAGTGCTCTTAGATATGCTGTATCATTAGTTTCTCCAACATCAACTTGGTTGGGAACAAGTAGAAATGTTATAGTTTCATCTCATAAAGAAGATAAAGTCATGAAAGGCTCAAGAGCTTGGCTGAGGTCAAAGAAAACCAGCAAAGTTGTGTGTGTGTGTGTGTGTGTTGTGTGTGTGTGTGTGTGGTGGGGTGTGTGTGGTGTGGGGTGTGTGTGGTGTGGGGTGTGTGTGGTGTGGGGTGTGTGTGTGTGTTTCTAGCTCTTATTGTCTATAAGAAAGAAAAGTTTCCTGGGAATCCTGTGAAGATAGGTCTGAATAAGTTTTCTCTTTACATATGTGAAACTTGATTTAAGTTTGCAGATTCCTAGTAAATTGGCAATAGAGATGAGGATAAACACTGGGAGACTTTGTGTTGCTCATTCTTATTGATCTGGGCTGTCCTCATTATAGATGGGGATTACTCAACAACCTGCAATAGCAGGCCTGAAAGTGGGTGGAAGGCCCTTCTACTCTCATGTATGTGAAGTAAAAATTGCTCCCCAGTCTGTAAATTCCTGTAGGAGATTAGAGCTCAGAAAAACACAAAGAAGGTTGGATGGGCTTCATCTAGGAGGGACTTTAAGAGGAGTATAGAAGTGACATTACCCAGGGCCCTCTACACAATACAGAGAAGATAAATAGGAAAATTTCCAAATACGGACTTTAAATTGTAATGTGGGATTTACACTTTACACAATTGGTAACCATTAAGTTAAAGCATTTAAATCCTGCCTATCTGGAAGCAAAGTAATGCTAAGCCATGATTCATAAAAAAAATTCTTGGGATACATTTGTACTTTAGGAAAGTTCATCTTTGGTTTGCTTAGTTGGAAATAATCCAGGGATGTGAGATCTGAAATTAACAAGTGTCATTTTTCTCAAAAATGTGCCTGGTGCATGGCAGAGGTAGATAATCATCAATGTTCAACCTGATTCTAGGTAGCTTGTGAGGCTCCTACCTTGAACTGGTTCTGTTTATGGCTAGTAATGCAAAAGTGCAGCCTTACATGAAGATGAGCAAAATTAAGAGCATTCTTTATTCCATTAAAACCTCTGTGGGGATATCAATTTCTGTATTTGAATGTCTTTTTGTTAGGGTCATTCTTTTTGTTCCTAAAGTTCTATTTTGGGATGCAGTGTGGGAGTGTGGAGGTAGACCTTGTATTGCACCTTGATCTGTGTTTTATCCTTACTATTTATTGTCTTCCTCTCTGTCCATCTGTCATTCTCTACCTTGTTTTCCCTTTCATTCTCTTCCCTGTTTTCCCCTTCCTCTTAATTGTACATACACAGAATAATTAAAGCATATTTTAGATTATTTAGAGTTATGATATTTTGGTCTGAAAGAGACTTTTTCTAATACACTCCTCATTTACAGATGTTACTACAGGCCAAGTGCAAGTCTTGTGGCTTTTGGTTCAATATTCTTTCTACTATTTTTTTTTTTTTTGCTGCCTCCTGCTTTATATTTCTAAAATAAATTTCTGTGCTTCCTATTCTTAATTTTAAAAACAAGTGAACAGAACATTTTCTATTTTTTACGTTAATTTTTTTTCATTATGTTACTTCAGAAAGTCCATGCCTTTGGGCAAAATGAAGTCCTACACATGCCTTACCCACTAAGTTTGCAAGGGGCCCAAAAAAAAAGGCAGGAAAACACTGCGAACACCCCCTCTCTCCACCGCACTGAGAACTCTCTTTCCCTTTCCTTAAATCTTTAGGAATACAGATTCTATGGCTGTGCCGATTCTAATAATCAGCTCATATTTGATTAGGGCTTAAGATTTTCATAGTTCTGTTCCATTCACTAGTTAATTCATCAAGATGTGATGTGCTGATAAGTGGACTATCTTGCTTGATCACTATAGCAATTCTGTACTCTAGACAGGAATGATACTTTAATTCTGATTTTAAAAACACAGAATCTAAGATACAATGATTTGTTCATGGTTGCATAGTTAGTAGCTGAGTCAAAAATAAGAGTTCTACTTTCTAACCCACATACAAAAGTGTGTTTCTAGTATATTTGGTTATTTCACTTAAAAATAATATATCAAACTTATCATTCCTGTTGCATGAAAACAAACAGAACTGAATCTCTATAAAGACACATCTGAGAAAAGAAGTACTACAATAAATAATAAATAACCACAAAAAGCATGAAGAAACAAAAGGCTACTCTGTCTGTCTTATTGAAATGTATAAACAATGTGGTTATCTAACACTAAGAAGTCTCATTTTCCTATTTAAGTATTCACTCATTACCAAAAATCAAATTTCAAGTATATCTACTGCAGAAGGGTGGCTGTCTTAAAATCCAAGGGTTACATTTTGACCCATCATCTATTCTTTTATTATGTGTACTTAGATTTTTCTCTGCTGGAAGTAGTTTATGTGTTTTTCCTTAAAATTGAAAACTTCCCAAGCTCATATAAATTGTTA